GATGGAGCCTTTGTGCTTCGCGTACTATGTACCTCTTGTCGGGAGTTTACGACTTTTAACAGCTGGATCGTTCATCGGTTGTCCTACCTATGACACACTGATGAGGACTAATAAGTCCGAAACCGGTCTGTGCCTGGTGGGACCAGCTGATGAACGATCCTAGCTGTTGTACTGGGTGTCGCGAATGTAATTCAATGCCGGTAGGGGCAAATAGCCCTCGGAGTAGTTGTTTTTCGCGGCACTGACGACTTACATTGTGTTTCGCCCTCTATAGGCGACATTCGTGCAATAAAGTACCTGGCAAATTTTAGCAGGTCGCTTCCACCGTAGTAGCCATTTGAATGGCATAGTGGAAGTCAGCGCGGTAGATGGAGCCTTTGTGCTTCGCGTACTAAAATGAGTGTAATTTAGATAATAAATTATTACAGTGTTCTTTGCAATTTAAACACTCATCTACCTTCAACCCTAGGAATTGTGCACTCTTACAACTAGAAATAGAGGTATCATAAATATTAACATTCAAATTCAAACACGTTCTTTGCCAATTATGAAATCTTATAAAGTGGGTTTTAGTAATATTAAAATAAAGACAATTTACCGCATACCATTTTGCTATGTCATCCAGTACCTATATTGTTACACTTGGTCTGCAACGACCCGTCAATTTTATGAGAAATTAAAAGAGATATATCGTCAGCATACATTGTTTATATAAAGCAAAAATAGTATTGGACCCAGTATAGATCGTTGAGGGACTCCTAAATCCCGTCTTTTTAATGTGTTACATTGACAAACTGTTTTCTATTTGTCATAAAAGATCTAACCCAGTTTAAAGCCAAACCACGAAAACCATAGGATGACAATTTTACTAGCAATAATTAATGATTGACACATTCAAAGGCCCTGCTGAGGTCACAAAATACCCCAACAGGGCATTCACCTGCCTCAATACACTACAACACTTTTTCATAAAAGTTCTCCATTGCAGTGGATGTAGACTTTCCTACCAAAAACCCATGCTGATTATCAGAAATAATATGATTCTTATCAACATACGCCATAACACGATGTAAATAGCAATACATATTTCAAAATTTTTGAGAACCCTGAGGTTAGTGTGACAGATCGGTAATTGTCCACACAATGTACATCATGTTTTTATGTACAGGTACCACTTTTCCCGTTTTTAAACTCGTTGGAAATATGCCGGTCTCAAATGATAAATTGACCAGAAAAGTAAGAGGTTTTGTAATGAAAGATTTTTTACTATAAATATTGGAATATCATCTGAACTTGATGATCTTTTATTTTTTAATTTATTTTTTAATATATATATATAACAGTTCATCACTGGCATAAGGTGTTAGAAATAGACTCTCTTGAACAGTTTTTATATTCCTATCGTGCGGTGCTGCTACAAAAAAATTGTTAAAAGTTGTTGCTACAAAAAGTGGATCTTCATTAATTTCAGAGTTATCAAATAAACTAATTGTGGCGTATTGATAGATGCGCACATGCGCAGATATGTATATAAATACGAGGCAAGCTGGGTGACGGCCTCTCTCTCGGTATGTACCCTGACGAACGTAACGTGCAATAAAAGGTTAACCAAGTATACAGAGTTTCTCTTAATCCTGCTATTGCTTGAGCTGGCTAAACGTGGCCCCAAAACGTTATACTAATATTTTGACTTTTACTTGGTTTATTCGTTAAATGCGATACAGTATCCCATGCAGCTTTAGTAGGATTATCGGAATTGCAAATTTTATGTTTATTATAATCTAATTTTGTTTTATTTACTAATATTTTATGTTTCTTATAAGCCATAATGTACTTATTCCTCAATTCGGGATATGCCTTTTTCAATACATTTAGGTCTCTCAATTTACAACTGGACAATTTAACTTCATCCGAAACCCACCCCTTATGACAATTATTTTTAAAAAATTTCTTTAGTAGAAAATTCACATTAAAATAATATGAAAATGTATTAAAGAAACAATCAGAAGCCCGATCCATGCTTGTCTGCATATAAACCTCTGCCCAATTTTCATTTTTTAAATCGTTATTAAAATTTAAAACATTTTCATTACTGTAACTTCTTCTAATACTAGCATTACATTTGTGTGAATTTTTATCACTGTTAAAAAATTCAAAAAGAATAGTTCTGTGATCAGATATTTCATTATCAACAACAGATACGGTACCATCATCTGTTATATTGGTGAATATTTGGTCTATTATAGTTGCAGTGGAGGAAGTAACCCTGGTCGACCATTTAACTATAGGAATCAAGTTATAAGCTAGAAGTAAATTACAGAGCATATCAAAGTCTTTCAAATTTCTAGACAAAATTGAACAATCCAAGTTTATATCACCATTTAAGATAATATCCATATTTGGCTTGACTAAATAATTAAGTACTGCAACTATTTTTTCAAAAAATATATCTAGATTTCCAGAAGGAGATCTGTAACAAGTTAATATTAAAGTGGTTCTGTCACGTATTTTTAGACATATACCACATATTTCAAAATGCTGATCTTCGCAATAAACATTCAGGTCAATATTTTTTACTCTCAAATCATTTCTACACCAAATAGCCCCACCGCCTTTTTCCCTGCTAGTCCTATAATAAAAACTAGCTAAGCTAGCTATTTCTAAATTATTAATCGTGTCCGTATTTAACCTCTGAGCATTATATAACAGTAAATTAGGCATAAACATTAAATTATTTGGTGTTATTTTTTCTGATATTGAAAAAAACTACTTATGCAAGCTCCTGAAGGCCATAAACTCGGGTCCATTGCCTTCCTAAAATTTTTTTCATAAAGAGTCACCTTGTACGAAGAGTACAGTTCCGGGTGTCTTGCTGAGATTGAATCACATTTGACTTCTGGAAAATGCATTTTCAGCATACTCTCCAATTCCTCTACTGTTGTATCAATCCTATAAGCATGTAGAGCAGCCAGCTTGGGTACTCCTTTTATGGTCACATTTACATTGTTTCCAATAATTGTTTGTCTATTGCGTCCCTTTGAATATTTTACCTCTTTCCAATCGCTTCTCTGCTGGTGAAAAGAATCAGAAAGTGATACGTCCTTCTGATCGTTCACTAGATTAATAATTTCATTGCATTTTATTTCCGATTGCACTTTTAATAAGTCAGCTACCAATTTTTTACTTGTCACTGCGCTATCTTGTTTACTTGGCTTTTTTATTTCTTTCTCAGTTTGGTGTTTTGTCTCCACTTGTTTTTTCTGGTGGTTAGTTTTTGTTCCGTTCATATTTTGAGGTATTTTAATTTGCTGTTCACTTCTTGCTTTCAAAATATTTCCCTCCTTATTTTTATTTATCAATGACATATTTAAAATGGTCATTTGATCAGTTAATAATTTTATTTTGTCACGTAATTCATTAATAATAATGCCTTTTTGCTTTATGATATACATGAAGATGGGAAATACCATTTTCTTGTCCAGGGATGATATTTCTTCCATAGCATCGAAAAATGCCGCGTTAGAATCCATATCAGTCGTCAACAAATTTATCGTTGTTATTAGTATTACAGCAAATTAATCCGTCTTTAACAAACTGCACACCCGACCACAATTTAGCACAACTTAAATGAAAACTGTTATCACAGTTTCTACATTTAGTACCGTTACCTAACGTAGATTTACACTTTTTACATGATGTATTCACGAAGCACATCTCCTGCCCGTCGGCCATCTTGAAACTCGAATTATGTTGTGTCTTTATGGGCATTTTTCATTTTAGCTTGTGTATATGTATAATGTTTATTATATTTTACTAAAGCATATGACTGTTTTACACTACTGTTATTTTATTTAATGTAAAATAGTTTATCTTTTTATTACTTTTAAATTTATTTATTTTTTTTTGTCTTCGAATTGTTTTACCAATTGTTACTGTCATTTTTCTTTTTTTATATTACATATTATATTCCCACCCATTCAGTAATTGGATATTTTCTGTTAAATAGTGTATCAAATAAATAAATAAATAAATAAATAAATAAAACGCCAGATATACATATCTAATTGTATTTGGTATTACGGTATCCACTGGTTAATGCAAATTATGTTATTAAGTAANTGTATTATAGTTTTATTACTTTTAAATTTATTTATAGGTTTTTTTGTCTTCGAATTGTTTTACCAATTATTACTGTCATATTTCTTTTTTTATATTACATATTATATTCCCACCCATTCAGTAATTGGATATTTTCTGTTGAATAGTGTATCAAATAAATAAATAAATAAATAAAACGCCAGATATACATATCTAATTGTATTTGGTATTACGGTATCCACTGGTTAATGCAAATTATGTTATTAAGTAAAGCGATCGAATTGAAACGGCTCCATATTTGATATGGGAGTGCCTTTCAACAGAATTGTACGTTTGCGTTCTGTGTTCAGATCCTTTTTAGTAATAGATATCCAGGCATTTTCATTCGAACAAAAAATTGACATTGACCTATAAACTGGTAATTTAAATCATAACAATTTGTATTGTTTAACAGAATATAAATTACACCATCAACATATGTAATAAATGCCAATCAGAACGAGATACTATCAATATTTTTAGTAATTGGAAGTGGGCGACCTAACAATGTTTTGAAATATGTTAATGCTGCACTGAGGAATATTATCATTATGTAAATAGTATTGATTAATGTTTAAAATTTTATTTGAAAAATGCCGATTTCTTATATATGTGTTCAAGAAATTTCCAATACGCATTTTATAAAAGTCCATGGTTCATACTGGGCAAATTATCATATAAAATAATAGTGTCCGAGACATCTGTTACAGTATTTATACATAACTGGTTCCAAGGTTACTTCGTTTTTCTAAAATAAATGTCAGTTTTTGTTTTTCCTCTTTATTTTTAAAAAAGGCTGTCAAACTATATAAATATTTAGGTAACCATGTACAGTTTTGAAATGGTAGTTACTTTTGTGTAATAAACCAAAAAATAGTGGATACCTACGTGTTGTATTTTCTGTAAGAGGAAAAGAACCTGAGTAGAACTGTATGAACGGGTAGTTCATGTGGACTATACATGACAAAATGGCAACCGTGACATGACTCTCTGTGTAGTGGAAAACCGTTTTGTATTCGTACCAGATCAGAGATTTTGTGATTTCAACTGTCGCACTGATTGTGTATTGGAGTTTTGTTAAACGAGTGTTGTTTTGAACAGAGTTTATCATGAATTCGAATTCGAACGTGGAACAAAATAAGAAACGTCGTAAAGTACTGCGTACTGTATTTACAAAGAACGCAAGTGACTTAGAAACCTTGTTGACAAGTAGTGACAGATCCCCAGCTAGTTTAATAATAAGAGACATTCAAGTGTCATGGGAGCTATTTGTACAAAAACACGATAATTTGAATGTGATAGATCATGATATTTATGAAGCACTTCTAGCAGACGATGCACCTGAGTAGGGTTTGTTGTTAACAGAAATGTGAAAACTACGAAAAGAGATTTACTGAGCTTACTTACTTACATTGTCAGCAAAGAAGAGAGGAAGATGTGCAATCGGTGATTTCAGAGGCTAGCAGCGTAACAGGTAGACGTAAATTTAAACTAGGACCTACTATAGAATTTAAAAAATTTGATGGCAATATACGCGACTGGTTGTCATTTTGGACACAATTTAGGAACATACATGATGATTCTGATATTGCTTTGGAAGATAAGAATATTTAATTCAAGCAACAGTGCCAGGCAGCAGTGCTAGGCAATTAGTAGATAGCTTTCTTGCAATAGGAAAAAATTATGAAAAAGTAGTTCAGGGGTTAGAGGCACGATTTGGCCGAGAAAACCAAAAAATAGAGATGTTCGCGAACTGCTGAAGCTCATTTTGCACAATGCCATGTCACAAACTAAAGTGGATCTTTTTACATTATATGACAGGTTAGAATCCCAGATGAGGACACTTGAAATTCTAGGGGTAACCTCCGAAAAATGTTCTGCCATGCTCTTTCCTTTAATAGAATCGTGCCTACCAGAAGATCTGCTTAGAGTTTGGCAACGTATAGGAAGGACATCAACTAATGTGGATGCAAGAGAGCTAGGGTAAAGTGAATCACTTAGTAACAAGGGTTTATTAGAAGGCCAGTTGACAGACCTGATGAATTTTCTTAAGAGGGAAGTGGAAAACGAACAACGCATTTCTCTAACTACGAAAGGATTTGGTTTGTGTGCCGAAGGTTCACTCGCAGCAGGCAAAGATGCCAAGAGAATGGCAAAACCTAATGAGTCGGCTGTAGCGACGGCGAGTACCCTAGTCAGCTGTGATGTTGCAAAATGTGTGTTTTGTGAAGGATCAGATGCAAGTGAAACTTGTTTTAAAGCGCAAAAATTCACCTTAGAACACAAACGTGAAATTTTGTTTAATAAGAGGGCGTGTTATAGGGGTCTCAAAATAGGACATCAAGCTAAGAAGTGCCGTACACGTTTGAAGGGCATGATTTGTGGTAAACCGCACGTGTCATTAATTTGTCCTGATCTGCCCATGCATAAACGTGACTTAACGACGCAGAACTGTAACATGAACAATAGAGGTGGGATTAGTGACCAGACTCTTGCAAACACCGGCAGATATGTGTTTTTGGAAACTTTATGCGTTCGAGTGAATGGACAGTTTAACTCACATTATGTTCGAGCTTTAATAGATACTGGTTCGCAGAGATCATATATCATGAAATCAACCGTACAGAGATTAGGTTATCGGTCGAAACGTCGTGTAAAAATCATGCATTGCTTATTTGGTGGCGTTGAACAATCACAAACACATGATGTTGCGATGTCAAGTTAAGTGCGGGAGATTTTTCGTGTATCTTAGAAGTATTGGACCAGCCCATGATATATAAGGAAGTTTCGCCTGTGTTTGAAGGTTCCTGGATGGAAGGAGTCAAGGCATTGAATAAACAACTTACTGATGTAAGAGGTACGGGTATCATTGAACTTCTGATTGGTGCTGACTATGCTGGGCGACTCTATACGGGTAGGAGACATATATTAAAATGCGGTTTGATAAAACTGAAACATTTTTGGGTTGGACGCTTTCTGGGAGAATGCAAAATGAATCACACACCAGTATGTCCATGGCCGTTCTTTCTCTCTTTGTAAAGGAATCTTGCATCATGGATCTTTGGAAATTAGATGTTCTTGGAGTCACTGAACCTTCGGAGAAGAGGACTCGTGAAGAAATGGCATTGTCTGCAAAAGAATTTTTCCTGCAAACTGTGGCGACAGATGAAAGTGGACGTTATGAAGTGAGATTACCATGGTTGGATGGACACCCTGCGTTACCCAGTAATTATCACTTGACGGAAAAGAGGTTGGAGGCCGTCGTTAAGAAATTAAAGAGTGATTGTCTATTTGAAGCTTATGATCGTGTATTTCAAGAGTGGTTACAGGAATATATCATAGAAGAGGTTCCTCTGGAGGAGGAAACTGTTAAAGGTCATTACCTACCTCATCGACTAGTGTTAAAAGAACACTCAATTACGAAAATCAGGTTTGTATTTGATGCATCAGCACAGGACAGAGGCCAGCCATCATTGAATCACTGTTTGGAAAAGGGAGAGAATCTTGTAGAATTGATTCCTACGATTTTATTGCGATTTAGAGAGCAGCGATTTGGAGTGATTTCAGATATTCAAAAGGCATTTTTACAAATTGGTGTTTATAAAACTGATAGATATTTCTTGGAATTTCTATGGACTGATGCCGAAGGAAAGCGGAAAGTGTATCGACATCGCCGTGTTGTATTTGGAGTGAATAGTAGCCCATTTCTGCTTGGGGCAACAATACAATATCATCTGGGTAAGAAGCTGAAGTAGTGTGAGACAATGTATTCCAAATAAACAATTTTGAAGTTGTTGAAGAGTTCTTACGTAGATAACTGCGTAACAAGTGTAGCCTCTGAGAATGACTTGAATCATTTTATTTTAGAATCAAGTATGCTTATGGCCGAGGCAAAATTTGATTTACGAGGGTAGGAGTCCACAGTAAGTTCTCCTAATATCAGTGTCGCTGTACGTAGGTCTAACCTGGAATACAGAGGGAGATGTATTAATGGTAAATGGTGAATGGCTGAAAGAAATTACTACTCTCTAGGACAAGACTGTTACGAAGAGATTTCTCCTATCAACCGCCCAAAGAATATTTGACCCCATTGGCTACATGTCTCCAACCACTTTGATACCCAAGATATTGATACAGAGGACATGGGAGC